ACTTATGTCACGCCCCTGCCACATGCCACATGCCACATGCCCCCATGAGCCCCCATGAGCCCCCGTCCCCCTCCCCCAGCGACGGCAATGGCTGTTCTCTGAAATGAAAAACTCGTTTTCCATGTCAATTTTCATTTGACTTTTTGCCTCTGCTTAAAAGACCGAAAAACGCATTTATTTATGTGCCAGGGTAGGGGGAGGGGGAAGGGGGGGGGGGAAGGGGGCAGTGCAATTCGCAGATAAACGATACACACAAGCGACACAATTCGTTGCCAAAAATGCAGCATTAACAATGTAACGGCGGCAGCAGCAGCAGCAGCAGCATCTTGGCCGAAACCAACGCGAGAGCAGAGAGCAGAGAGCCGAGAGCAGAGAGCAGAGAGCCGGATCCTTGCGTCTGCGCCTGCGCGGGCTCGTCCTCCCCTCATCGCAGGCGCTTTCTCTGTCGCACTCCCGCACTGTTTTTGTTGACAGCCAGAGGTTGGGAGTCCCAAATGAAAATATAGCTAAAAAATATTTGTTGCTGATTTCCCTTTTTTCCCCTCGCGAGAGACGGCCGGACTCTCTCTCTCTCTCTCTCTCACCGGACAGAAGAGGGAGGCCTTTCCGCCGAGGACTCCGCCTGCACTTGATCAGAGCCTCTCCCGCCTCTCCCTTCGTTTAATTAAAACCAATTTCCAACTGCTCAAGGAGTTGCGTTCCGCTTCGTCGAAGGAGTAGGACTCCTGTGGCCAGCGATGTGAGGCAGGGGGGTGAGGCAGGGGGGCAGGCAGGAGTGGGGCAGAAGCTTATGGCCGCTGGTCGCGTGCGTTTTTATTGATTTTTCCCGCTGCTGCAGCTCCGATTGTTGTTGTTGGGTGGTAGAAGCTGTAAGCCAAGAGATTTCCCCATTGCACTTTATATAATTAAAGGAGGGACCCCCCCCCCCCCCCCCCCTGCGATCGGCTCTCAAACCTGTTGCATAAATTATAAAGCCCTCGGAATCAAAGATTCCCCCCAGACCTTCGGCCCGAGCGAGGGCTAGCGTTGAACTCAGATTCGAGTCCGTGGATGCCACTGCGTTGCTCAAGCGCTGCTCTTATCACTTATCAGCCGCGTCGTCATCGGCAGACAAGAGTTTTCGAAAGCAAAAGCAAAGGCAGAAAATAAATTTCAACATTCTTTTCCAACAGAGAAAAACAAACAAACAAAATGCCAATGAGAATGAAATAAACTCACCTGCGTAGTCCCTGGAGGGCGGGGTGGGGGTGGGGGTGCTTTTATTGGGGTGGTCCAGAAACAACAAATTTGCTGTTGTTGTTGTTGTTGTTGTTGGCGGCTGGTCGCGAAATTTATTCGACACTCAAGATAATCGTCGCCGCTCAGGCTTTTGTTGCACCAACAGCTGTTTGCCCCACACACACACAGACACACACACACGCACACGAGATAAATAAACAACAGATACTTTTTGTAGGTTCGATTAAAATATTCTTCTCGTTTTGTTTTTGAATTTTCTTGGCGCTTTTTCGTAATATTCTGATGTTGTTTTTTTCGTATCTACTGAGGAGCGTACGCGCTTGGAATATTTGATTTTATTGTTGTATTTTTTCGTATTGCGTTGCTTTGGCGTTGCTCTGCAGTCGGCTTTAGATATTTCACTCAGCCAATGTGCCAATGTGCTAGCTAGTCGGACCTACTAGTGTTTTCCATTCAGCAAACAAACTATCTAGCCGCTCAGCGACCCTCGACGCTCAGATACAGACTCACAGATACGCGCAGCGCGGAGCGGAGCGGAGCGAGCTGGCACGGGCGCCAGCCGACAATCAAATGGTTTGGTATCCAACAGATACGGAAAACCCCCAACTGACTCGAACGACAGCAGAACGCGAAGTGAGAGCAGACGCGCCGAGTCGCTGCCGCGCTGCATGGCCCGCAAGAGAAACAGAGACATGGAGAACCACACAGAGAGAGAGACACAGAGAGAGAGAGAGAGAGAGAGAGAGAGAGCGGACTACCTCCAGCTGTGTGTGGCAAGATGTCGCTGCTCTGGGGTATATTTTCACCAAAGGCTTTGCTTATTTATAGATCCGAGCCTCAGCTCTGAGGCACATGTCACATGCCCACAGTGCACTTTCCCTGTCTTGTCTTGCCTTTAGGCAATGTGCAATGTCCGCCTGCAAGCCCGGATCCGCTAATCAGCAGTTGGCTGCTGCTGCTGTTGGCCAATTCTCAGGTAAACAAACCAATACACCTGCACGTGCAGACAGTCTTCGTCACTGGCGATAAGACCCTCGTCGAACTCTGCTCTGCTCTACTCTGCTCTGCTCTGCTCTGCTCAGACAAAGCAGCGTGACGTGACGCAATGACTAGAAGTCTCGCTCTATCCGTCTGGAGCACAAGTACTCGTATCGCCAACGTCTTGGTCCAAAACAAAGGCTGCTGGCCGTCTGCCTGGCGCTTGGAAGTTAATGAGTCGTTGACGCCGACTGGCCAGAGCGTTCAATGGCTTAGCATAGAACAGACAGCCGACACTGACAGATAGCGGTTAGTAGCATAGCAGAGGGTAAATCCATGACTGAGCAGTTGCATGCAAAAGTAGAGATAAAGCTGCCACTGATGCCGGTTCCGACCAGACAGCGGCGCAGAGGTCACGACAGGGCTGACTGGTGGCCCTTTAAGGCATAATTTCATTGCAACTCGATGGAACGTCGATTGGATTTCTGCAATCGAAGCGGGCTAATGAAAATTCGCCTGCCCTTGCGCCTCTTGTGCTGCGTGGCACCCACCAGATTGGATATTGCATCCTTTCGTCCTGCGATGGGTAGTGCAGGTTGTATTTTCCATTTTCTGTTCGTTTTCCATTTTGCAGTAGGGTCGGGTTGTCCGTCCATCGGAGCTTGGATTATTGGCCTTGCCCGTCGCTTGCTTTGTGTCAGTCGGTTGACAATTTGTGCCGAGGATGATGAAGATGCGGTCTGGTGGGCGGCGGAAGCGGCACGGGCGGCGCTTTAGTGTTCAAAAGCCATACAACGATTGCAATGTGGTCCAGGCCAGTGGTAGGACGTTTATAGAGTCAAATGGGTGATTTGAAATTGATGAACTTTGAAAATGGATGATTTATTCTCCCTTCTCCGACACGACTGTAGACAGAAATACAGTACGAGGCCGTGACCTGAATTATGCATTCGTTTTTAATTGATTTTGGTTGTCTATTTGCTCCTTTTTCCATCGTTGAATGATTTCTATTACGAATTATTTGAAAATCCCAAGTGCCCGCCAAAGTAGCACAGAAAAAAGGTTAGTGCTATTGAACTCAAGTCGTTCTTCAACTTCGCCGCGTCTGCTCTGTGTGATATTTTGAATGTAACAAGCTGCATACTTTTCAGCCATTTGTCAAGGGTACCAGTACCTGACAAAAGCTAAAATTGCCAGGCGCCACCTGGTGATATTGTGCAACAACTGCGCAGTTGCAGCAATAAGACACTACGTTGCGTGTTAGAGTGCGGACAGCTGTAGTCAGGTGGCGCTACTGAAACATGTAGTTGATATGTAGATTTAATGTAGATCTGTAGACATTTGCTATCTTCTGATGTAAAATGTAAGATCTTTGCTGTTAACAAGCTGTTACACCAAAAACAGTGCTGAAAAGTACTTGAAACAGTGCTGGAAAAAATACATGAAAATTTCAAAACTTGCGCGCGCGAACGGGTCCACTGATAATTCAGGTACCAGAACGCTTCCCATCTACTGGCCAAGAAGAACGTCTGGGTCTACTGTACGCTCGCCCCGCGATTGATTGACATTCAAAGATGACTCTCATTTAACCTTTTATTTAATAACTTTTACTATTTATTGTAATGCATACACTTTAATTTTGTTTTTACTTAAATACGTTCTTGTGTGCTATCATATTTAATATTAAAATATTTTATGTGTGTTTCTTCTTGAGCTTATAAATTATTCACACTATTCGGGGGAAATCAATCAGATGATCGGTTCGATTGTTGTTCGATTTCTTTACAAAATAGATTACAAAACGGTTAGATCTGTGCGTGAGGGGGGCGGGGGGTTTCTTAATGCCTTTGATTTACAAAGCGGCGTCTGCGAATACATATTTTGTGGGTGGTGGGGGGTGGGGCATGCACGTCTATAGGGGAAGATAGGGGAACAGGTGCCAATGCCTGCTATACAAATAGAGATTGCCTAATAGAACACTTAGGACTACAACTAATGTTCGTATTTGTAATTCTTGTTTTGTTTTTGTTTTTTTTTTATAAAATAACATTAAAAATTTTGGTACAGTCATCGGTAATCGGTCATCGGCAGTCGATAGATCGATATTATCAATACTACTAATTGCAAACGTTGCATTACAATCTACAATCTACGTCTGAGGAGGTTGAGAGGGGTAGGGGGGGGGGGGGGGGGGGCTGTGGCGGCGGCCGGTGGTGGCCGTGGAATCTGTGGACCCACAGCCCAACCCCTGGAGTCCGTCTAATGCTGTCGGCTTGTTTGGTTACTTCTGCGTATTTACAACACTCTCTTAAACCTGGCTTGCACTTTTGATTATATACCGTTCGATATAAAACTTAAATAATACACAATAATGTTAATAATAATAATAATAATAATAATAGCAGATATTGCCTCAAATGCTTTGTAAGCTTTGTCGTATTCGATTACTTAAATGGAAATTAATCGCAAGTCTCGAAATAATAATATCAATAAATACACTATCGTACAATCGGGGTGAGGGGGTGGGAGTCCGGGTGTCCGGGAGTCGGGAATAGGAACTAAAAGCACCAGCAAATCGTATCCTTTGCTCAAACGAAACAAAATCATAATCAAATATTGTCCTTAGGGCTACGAACAAAACTAAATAATCGGTTAAGAATAGACATATTGCATTTCGATTCTGTTCACAGTTTTCAAGTCCGCAGCGGTGGCAGAGCGTGGGCGGCGGGGCACGTTGCAGGCGGTGGCGGTGGCGGGTGAGGGTGCGGGTGCGGGTGGGGGCCCTGCATCTGCATCTGGAGCTGCAGCGGCCGCTTGGCCCGATAGCGCTTCAGCTTGCGCCGGGCCATGAAGAGCGGGCCGGGCTTGAAGCTGAGCTCGCGACAGGCCATGTGGTGACCCAGTGCCGGACTCTGCTCCTGGTCGAGCTCGAAGGGCGGGAAGTATATTGGATTGGCAGCCCCGGTTGCCCAATCCCGCCACATGTTTCAATCCTGCCCTGCCCCCCCGCCATTCAGCTGCGTCAGGGGCGGCCCCGTGGCGGCCATCTCGCGCCGCTGCTCCAGCGATAGGGACATGCCCTGGCCGGCAAAGTCGTCGTCCATGGAGGAGGACTGCTTGGAGCCCACCGACTTGCAGTCCTCGTCCATTGTCACGCCCAGATGGTGCATGGCGGCCGCCGCATGGTGCCGCTCTGCCGGCGGCAGGAGATTCAGCATGCTCAACGGCAGTCCCGGGAAGCCGCCGGAGAAGTCGGGGTAGAATCCTTGCGGATTGAAGGGATTGAACAGGGCGTTGGGTCCGCCCAGCAGATCAGGCTCCGAGCTGCCGCTCCGGGGCCCGCCCGGCGGACCCAGTGGCAGTCCCAGCTCCAGGTCGAGTGGCCCCAAGGAGCCCAGGTCGCTGGGATGGGGCATGAGGGGACCGTTGCCACTGCCGGAGCCGCTGTGGGGTCCGTTGCCGTTGCCACTGCCACTGCCATTGCCACTGCCATTGCCCGAGCTGCCCGAGGTGTTGTTGCTCGAAGAGCCCTTCTCCTTGTCCTTGTCCTTGCGGTCCTTGTTCTTCTCGCTCTTGCCGGAGCCGCCGCCGCCGCCCCCGCTGCCCCCACTGATGCCCATCTGGAGCATCTCGATGGGTGGCCCGCTGATGCAGTCCTTGCGGAGCTGCTCCAGCTTCAGGCTCTTGCCGTACTTCCCGCGGACATACATCAGCAGGGAGTTGTACGGAATGCCGAAGATGCGGGAGGCCTGCGAGGTGGTCATCTTCTTGTTCCACACGTGCTGCAGGGCCTCCGTCAGCTCTGTGTTGGTCCAAGAGCGAGGTGGTCCGCCCCGTGGGGCCGAGTGCTGTCCCTTGGGTCGTGGCACTGCAACAAAGAAGGGAACAAAATGTCGATTAGAAGGGAGGGGAATAGAGTGCAGGGAGGGCCCAGGGCCTGGGGCAAGGATGGTTGGAGGCGCCACAAACACACACAAATAGCGGAGCTTATCTTGTGGCTCAAATCTGCTAATGTTTCAATCTCTTGGCCCCATATGCTGCCTAGCCAGCTCCTCGGCTCAGTCGCCCATTGTCTGGCCCGGTCCTGCCTTCAGCTCGTACTCGTACACACCCTGCTATGGCAGGCACTCGCACTCGTACTCGTACTCGTACTCGCACAAAGAGCGATCACCTGGAGACCAGCAAACAGAGCAAGCGCTGCGGTGGTTCCCATCCAGGCACCAGCCCCGGCACCGGCCCCGGCACCGGCTCTCCTTCTATATGCAAATTACGACTAAGCATCGACTGTGGCGTCACATGCACCGCTAAAACTCAATTTAGATCCCCCAGATATCGACTTGCAACAGCCACAGACACAGCCACAGACACAGCCACAGCCACAGCCACAGGTTGCTTTCATGACTCTGTCGATGGCTGTGTGACAATGGCCGCCCGAAGAGCATGCCGCATGCTGCATGCTGCATGCATGAAGACAAGTTTGGGGCAAGCAGCACTCGTAATTCCGATCCGACTGATCATATTCATTTTCCTTTAATTTCGAGTGGTCTCCCTGGAAGGAAACTATGGAATTTCCAGGGAATTTGGCTAATACCAATACCCGAAATAAATGTAGTCTTTCCAGCGAAGACAGCCTCCTTTCGGTACGGCGCGGAGAGCACCAAAACAATCGCCAAATGAACAAATGAATGTGAACAAATCAGTTAATCACACCCACACGGCTGCAGGGAGGGCCATGGAGGGTCGCAGGGGGGGGGGGCCAGAGGAGGAGGAAGACTACGTGGAGAGCTCCAGCTCCAGCTTCAGCTCCAGCTCCAGCTTCAGCTCCAGCTTCAGCTCTAGATCGGTATCAGTGGTTGAGTGGAACGGGTTTTAGCCGATTTGCAATAAAGAATATCGTGCTATACGCCAGATTTGCGTTTTGTTTACCGTCTTACATTGTTGTAATTGTGTTTGTGGGCAGATGGCAGATAAGATAGACCATTGAAAAGCTCTCTGGTCTCTGGTATCACGATTTTGGCTTTGATGGCCGATTGACCAGAAAATGAAGCAATTATCTCCAGTATGAGACTTTGACCTCTTGAATCGGGGCCCCTCAACCCACACATGGACCAGCACTTAGCCGCGTCAACGTCAGATCAAGGGGGTGGGGGGGGGGGGGGGAGGGGGGAGCTCACATGCGGATTGTGGCACTTGTGGCTTGTCAATCACCTGGCAATCACAGAAGGAATCTAATTGATTTCTGAACCACATTTAAGAGTCGAATATAGAGAAAAACTTCATTGCTTTCTGAGGTTTCACTTGCATCACATGGAGCGCAGGTCTAGAGGGGTCTAGAGGGGTCTAGAGGGGTCTAGGGGGGGTCTAGAGGGGGTCTAGAGGGGGGCTCGCTCGCCCATTTGTCAATCAAAAAAAGCGACGTTTACGCTTGCGCTTTCGCGTTCACGCGATATGCATAGGTGCACATGTTGCCCCATTGAGGCAACCAATAAAAGACACAAAGAAACAAACAGCAAACACAATTTCTTGAACAGGAAAACCACAGAAACAAATTTACCGCCTCACATGATCGCATCTGGAACGATCTGGAATGGAGGAGGAGGATGTGGTATGAGAGGGGGGGGAGGAGGGGAATATCAGCGAATGCTGTTTGCTCTTTCGCCCGAGATCGGCCACAATTTAGGCACAATTTGAAACCGGTTATGACCCTTTCTATTTACTCTTCAATTACTCAAAATCGATCTGGAGTTGCCCCCCAGCTCAAAGACGTGCAACAGAGTGGAGCGAGAGGGGGAGGGGTAGGGGCAGGGGCAGGGGCAGGGGCAGGGGCAGGGGTAAAGGGCAGCAGCGCGAGATCAATCAGTCAGGTGTGAAGTATTGGAAACAAGGAAGGGAAACCGAATGCCATGCCATGTCTTGCCTTGCCATGCTTTGCCCCAACGTGATTGCACCTTTCCCACTGCAGCCCGGAGGGGGGGTTTCGGGGGGCTCGAGGGGCTAATTAGTTGTTTGCTCATTCTTGTACTTACTTTTCTTCTTGAGGAACGGCGGTGGCCCGCCGGGCATGTCCCGCGGATCGCTCATCTCCATGAGCGGATTGTAGAGCTTGCCGGGATCGATGCCGGGCGGAAAGAGGCCGAGCGGCGAGTCCAGGCCAAACACTGCGGATGGAAGAGCATTATAAGAGTTAGTGAGAAGCCCTGATTCAAATGAGTCCAAAGAACGAGTGCACTTGGCCCTGTCGCGCGTAAGCGGGTAATTTTCCGGCTCACTGATTAGCCGGGACGAACAATACGGAGGATTCCGGTAGGGACGGACGACAGACAATAGTACGTCGTTATCCCATTAATATTTTACGCTCGGAGCACACTTCTACACATGAGTGAAACAATTGAAGCGCTGATGAGGCGCCAACGAAGGCAGGCACGAAGGATAGCCAGGCAGGCAGGCTCTGCCCCAGACGGAGCGTCAGGCGAGAGGCAACGCGTAATATTGACATTGCATAAGTCGCGCCGTGGATGCCAGGACGAAGACAATGCAGGAGCATGTGACTGAGGGCTGGGTGGCTGGGTGGCTGGGACTACTGGCTGTATCTGTGTCTCGAGGATGTGTTGTATCTGCCGCATAATGACACAAATAACGAGCGCACATTGTTTGGCTCTGTGACTCTCAAGTAGACATTACAACACTCCGCTCCGTTCCGCATACACGTAATATTTTCCTTCGCTTTTCCTTTATTTCTGCATTTCTTTTGACGGCGTGCAGAATTAGTGGATTTCCTTTCATATTTTCTGAAGGGGTCTACAACAGATAGACTTGTTGTCTTCTAGCCCCCACAGCGGCCCGTCCGCAGCTATTAGTTCAATGATTTTCACGCCGAAAATATATTTGGCGGATAAAAAAATAAATCACATTCCCCATACGAGCGGGAAAGTCGGTGGTAAGTCTCTTCCTGCGATGTCTGGCAGTCTCCTTGCCGGTTGGGGTAGCCTGGGCCTGGGCAGGACCTGGTCCTGGTCCTGGGTCACAGGTACAAAGAGGAATCCTCACGGACTCCCATTTGCTGGGTAGACTGTTACGAGTACAGGGTAAAAGGCATTCCATGCCTCGGCACAATTCTTTGGCTTTACGTCTGACTTGGCCTGTATCCTTGTGACTGGATCCTTCATTGCCTGCAGCCTGTTTATGCAGTAGTTAGCGACTTCAGTGCACCGCCACCGCCATCGGCGTGGGCCCCTTGCCTTCGTCCTTGCCACACAGCAGTCCCTGCTGATATGTTGGCTGAAATTTGTGTCGCATTAAAAGGTATTGCGCTTCCTGCCTTCCTTTCCATCCACTTGTGCATTTTCGTACAATTTTTCATATTTTTGTGCCTTAATTTATTTTATATCCTGTGTGCCAGGTAAAGGTCCTTGGTCCTGGGTCTCCGTCACCGTCTCCCCAAACGGATATTATTAATATGAATATCGCGCGACTTGTATGCAAAAAGCAAAATAAAGGGAAGCCCAGCCACGAGATGTCATATTCCTTCTTCGAGTCGGTCCCCCCTTTTGGCGTTCGGGCCTTTGGATTCTTATTTATGCCACCGACGCTGCCAAAGTTGTTTGCCAAAAGGTTTAACTTGTGCGCTCCGGCATACTTTAAGCACAACACATGGAAAGGGGGGAGGGGCTCGGGGCACGGGGCACGGGACGTGGGGCAACTTAAAAGTCATTTCGCTAAACGTCTGCTGACAGTTTGAACCCAGTCTCCTCACATGTTGCAACAGAGACACAACATAAATTTCTTGCGCTTTCTGCACGCAATGCCAGAGCCCCCCACCCCACCCACTGGCACCCCCTCGTCGCATTGGGGGCCACCCTTGGCACCTCAATTTGCGGCTGACTCTCCCCGTGACATAAATATACCCACAAAAATATCGTATAAAACGCAATTGAATTTATTTCGACTCGGCCGCAAATCTACCCCCAGACAGTGGCAGTGGGGTGGCAGGGGGGCAGGGGGGAGGGGGCCTGAACCCGTCACATTATTGGAAGCCCATTGCCCTGTCATTGCATTTCAATATTTCTTACGGGCTGTCTGCAGCGCAAACTTTTTTACGACTTAATTAGTCTTCGTCCCCGGCCCCCCTCCCCTTCCCCCCGGCTGCAAGGGGGCTGCCTGAGTTGCCTTGGGATCTTAAAGGCACCTGCAACCGCCACTTGAATGCTGTCGAAACGGTTCAGGACCTCTGGGAGTCGCCGAACAGGTGACATAAGCCTCAAAAGAGGGCCACTCAAAGGCCAGGGAGGGGGAGCCCTAATGTGCTTAGAGGAGCTTTGCGACAAGAGGACTTCTCCAAGGATACTCGTCTCTGGCAGACACTTTGATGTTGCACAGAGGCCACATGTTGCATGCCACTCCAGCACCGAGGGCTCCAGGAAGGGGTCCTTAATGGGGGCCTTCCGCTGGGTTCCTGGTGCACCGCCCGACCTGACCCGACCTGACCGATAACCTAGTGACCTCTTTGGACTCGAAACGGATGAAGCTCGAAACGTAATCAAATCTTGTACTCACTGTGCGGCGGCGTCAGCGTCATGGCGGAGGACATGCCGGGAAACGGCAGCGGCGATGGCGGATGCGTGTGTCCAGGATGTCCGTCCTGCTGATTGAAGTGTCCGGGCAGGCTCATCGGCGAGGAGGGGCCGAACTCCTTGGCAAAGTCCTTGCCGAACTCCTTGCCCAGCTCCTTGCTGAGCCGGTTCATGCTCTCCTCGAGCCGCTCGTGCGGCGCCTGGCCCGGACATCCGCCGCCGGGGCCGCCACTGCTCCCGGGCGGCCCGCCGTTGGGTCCCCCGAAGGGGGACATGCCCATGGGCCCCAGCATGCTGTTGGCAAAGGCGCTGTGGTCGCGCGGGTCTCGCGGGTCCCGCTGGTGCATGGCTGCGGCCGCAGCCGCCGCCGCCAGCGACATCTCCATCTGGTGCTCCATGTGGTGGAAGGGATGCTCCCCAGCGCCGGCGGCAGCCACGGCCGCAGCGGCTGCGGCGTGCATCTGGGCCTCCAGCGCCTCCATGTGGCAGGGCGGGCTGTCCGGGAGGCCGGGCGGCCGCATCCCAGGCGGCGGGAAGCTCAGCAGTCCGTTGCCCCCCGCCGAGCAGCTGGTGGGCGTGTGGATGGGCGTGGACGAGGCGTTCGGGTTGGCGTTCAGCTGTCGGATGTCCTTCAGGGAGAGCATGATCCGCTGGTTGTTGTCCTGCAGCTTGCTGCTGTTGTTGTTGTTGTTGTTGTTGTTGTTGTTCGATTCACAATCGGATGAGTGGGCGGTGTGGCTGGTGTGGCTGGAGTGGCTGGTGTGGCTGGTGTGGCCGGTGTGGCCGGTGTGGCCGGTGTCCTTGTCCTTCTTGGTGGTGCAGAGGTCCTCGGGCCCGTCGCTGGGGCAGGGGGAGGGGATGGGCGACATGGCTGCCGCATTGGCGGCCGCCACAGCCGCCTGCCGCCTCAGCTCGTTCGTCGTGTGTATAAGCTCTTCAATGTCCTGTTCCTCCTCCTCGTCCTCCTGATCCTGCTCGTGGTCCTCTTCCTCCTCCTCCTCCTCCAGCTCCTGCTCCCGCTCCCGCTGCGGCTCGTGCCGGTGGCTCTCGTTGAGATTCAGAGGCTGTTCGCTGTCCTCGGGCTTGGGCCGCTTCTCCTTCGGCTGCTCCTGGGACGCCTCTGAGGCCCGCGACGACTCCTGCTGGCCCTGGCCCTCCTCCTCCTCCTCCTCTTCCTCGCCCCGCTCCATTCTCTCGAGCAGCTCGTGCTTGATCACAGTTTGCAGGGGTTCCGCCTCGGGCTTGTTCAGGGCAAAGTCGTGCGGGACGTCGCCCGAGCGACGGCGGGGTCGCGCCTGCTTGCGTCTGGGCATCGGCGAGCTTCCGCCCAGCTCCTGGTCGCTCTCGAGCTCGCGATCCCGCTCGCACTCCTGCTCCCTCTTCCGGCGCAGACTCAGCGCCGCCATCGAGCTCGCGGGGTGGTTGCCGAAGAGGTGCTGCCGGGCGGGCATGATCAGCTTCCCAGCCGCCGCCGCCGCTACTGCCGCTGCCGCTGCCGCTGCCTGAGAGGCTCGCACCCTCGACGGCGACTCGTCCTCAAAGCTGGAGGAGAGCATCGAGGCATCGAGCAGGCCAAAGTCGTCGGGCGACGCCGCTGGCGTGGGTGTGTGCTCCGGAACGGAGCTCTCGACGAGCCCCCGCACCTGCAGCGACTCCCCGGCCTGGATCAGGGTCTGCAGTCGCTGCTGGGGCACGCTGATCTCGCCGCGGTACATGAAGTCCACAATCGCCTGGACCACCCAGCCGCGGAAGTCCTTGAGCACAATCACCGGGTGCTTGCAGGGCGTCTCGGCGAACACGCGCTGGAAGAAGGGCGAGCAGGCGGACAGGACCATTTTGTGGGCCCGTATGGAGGTCTCCGCGCAGACCAGGGTCACGTCCACCAGCGTCTTGGTCTGCAGCAGGGCGTCGAAGGCCCGCAGGATGTGGTTCTGATGGTTGTTCCAGCGCAGGCTGTAGTGATCCTGCGGGGCCGTTGCCACCACGGCTCCCCCGCCCACCGACGTGGGCGTGGCCGGTGGACTGTGGCCGGCTGGCGATGTGTGGGCCACCGCGGCCGCTCCAGTGGCCGTTTGGCTCATGTTCAGCGGCAGGGGCGGCGGCGTGGGCGGCGTTGTGGGGGGTGTGGAGTGCATGGGGCCGTGCTCGCTGGTGGGGGTCTTGGCCAGCAGTGGCAGGGGCAGCGGTAGGGCCGCCACCTGGCGTCCAAAGTCGTTCATGTGGCGCGACGTCAGTGTGCGGCGTTTAATCAACTCCTCGGCGTCCTTTAACATTCCCCGCTCCAGTCACGTGCAAAGCTGCGCTCCGCTTCTCTGCAAAGAGATGGAGATAGAGAGAGAGAGAGGTGTTAGAGGGGGGAGCAGAGCTTAGGGATAAGGCGCGTAATCTATTCTCGTATTCATGACATATGCTGTGGGGCAATATGTGTGATAATATGTTAATGAGTCGCGGCATATATCATATTTTTTCGGCAACACGCGGCAGGCAGGCAGGATTCAAAGCAAAGCACAACAAAAGCCAAGGACCAGACAATCACAGTTGCTACGTGTCGCGGCGCATATCCTTGAGGATATCACATGCAGATGTGTGATGTGTGATAATGGCTTTCCTCTGCCACGCCTGCCCCTCCTGCCACTCCTGCCGCTGTTTTGTCTCTTCATTGAGTGTGTCCTGATTTGGTGTCTACAGTGGCGTGAATCGTGTTTATTCCCAGCAAAACCCCGACGCCAAAAAGCGTTAATTGGACCACAGATCCTTCATTCATTCACCCATTCAGTCCCCTTTGTTCATGCCCCAGTCGCACCCACAGTGCACTCGCACCTCTCAGTGCGTGGCATCTAATTAATTCAGCAACTGTGTGCTCTCCCGTGCTGCCGTGCTGCCGTGCTGCGTGTGTGAATTTTTAAAAGAGTCACCAGCTGCCCGACTCGCTCCGCCGTGAGCCAGCGATGCGTCCTTCCAGCGACTTCTTGATGCAAAATTAAAAAACTTTACTAGAAGCGTAAGCAAAATAAACATTTTTATTTGCCGTAGCTGCTGCATCTTTGTGGGGGGAGGGTTTGGGGCGAGGTGGCCGCCAACACATGCCACTGGGGGGTGGGACTGTGGCAAAGCCACAGTCAGAGCTGGAGCGAAAGGATAACCACGCTCGAGTGCAACAATGTGCAATTAGCAGGGAACTGCTCCGGTCGGCTCTCTCGCCTTTCGCCTTCTTGGGTTCTTCGGTTTTTGGCTTTGGCCCGTATCTCATTTGCGGTTCCCCGGCAGCTGAGACAACATTTTTATTTATTTATTTTACTTTCCTGTCGAGTGCTGGCGACAGGTAAAAGCAAGTTAGTGGCACGCCAGCCAGCCAGCGAGGCATTCGAGTTTTTTAATTAATTGTAAAGTAAGTCGCTTGAATCTTTCCTGACGGACTCTGTTTTGGCTCGAATTTAATGTCAAAATTTAACAGGGAACATCCTTTCACTTTACATACCATCTACGAATTTTCGCAGCAATTTTCAGGGGAATATCCGTAGGGAATACACTTTAAACGTTGATCCAAGACTGAACACAGTATCCTTTTTTTTTTTTTTGCTCAAAAGGGGGGAGGGGGTGGCTTTCACGCGTGTGCGGGACAAGCGACCGTCTGCGATCTCGTCGAAGGTTCGCAACAAACTGAATGCGAGGTCTATGCAAATATGCACCTATGAGAGGCAAGGCAAGGGCTGCCCTCGCCACGCACCACACACGCACCCCGCACCCCGCACCACGCACACACATGCAACCCCGAAACACCGCCAGCCACCACTCGATGTGTCTGCCGGTCCGACTCTGTGTACCCAGTGTTTGTGGGCAGGAGCAGGATCAGTTGAGATCAGTTGCTCTCAAATTGCCCCTCGCACGACCTGCCATAAAATTTCCCTCTTCCACGGCCTTGCAGGTGATAATCAGGTGCGTGCACACAGAACAACAACAAATAAACAGAAACAAAGACGGGCCGAATAGGTAGGACGGGCAGGATGGGCAGGATATTTATTCTTTAATGGCCGCTGACAGACAGGTCGAAGGCTACGCGTGTGTGTGTGTGTGTGTGATTCTGTCGATCCTCTCGATTTGGCCATCAATATTCGCGGAAACGCGGCTGGATTGGGTTTCCCGAGAAATGTTTCGCATATGCTTCTTTATGACGTGGCGTGGCGGCACTTGCAACACTCGAAAAACACACACACTTTCGGCCAAAGTTCGTTGACGGTCTTTATGGAAGTCTCTCTAACAATTTGAAAGGTAAAGGCCTCAAAGGCTTTACGGCAATGGCACTGAATCCTTTTCTTCAAAGCACTTTGAAACGATCGTTTCTTTGGGGTCCTTCCCCTGGAACATACATTTTGCATCCACTCGATTGTTGGTTTGGGTTTTGTATTGGCGTCGGCGTCGGCGTTGGGGCTATAGATGTCCTTTGAACATCGTAACGGTTAGCGGTTGGCCAGTGGATAGTGGCTAGTGGATAGTGGAAACGGTTAACGTACGAGTGCGAGTGTGTGGTGACGCGCGCGTGTGGGGTCGTCGCGTGTAGATTCGAACCGTTCAAACGTCACGAAGCGACTAATTCAAATGATGTCGGGCCCGGCCCGAAAAAACACAGTAACGTCGCAGCAAACAGAAGCAGCAGCAGTGGCAGTGCCAGCAGCAGCAGCAGTGGCAGTGGCACTGGCAGCGGCGGAGGCGGAGGCGGTGGAGGAGGAGGAGGAGGAGGCCACCCCCCAATTGCCACGCCCCTAGACCGCGTATGTTGCAGCCGCCCACGTACGCGCACACGTATGAGCAGCGGGCAACAAACAGTGAAAGCTTGCGAAACACATGAGGATGCTACGTTCGGCAGGACGAAGGCGAAGCCAGGACGAAGATTGGATCGGGCAACGACGATGCAGCGACGTCGACGTCTTTACTCCTTCGTCATATAAAATATACATATATTTTGTGCCTTATCACAACAACAACAACAACAGCAGAAGGAGCAGCAGCAGCAGCAGCAGCAGCAGCAGCAGCAAGGATGTCCTCGCACGTCACGTACACCGAAAAAAATATTTATTATACATATATATGTATGTACATGTGTATCTGTATACGAAATACATTTGCATACACATGCGTACCCGGACCCGAAGCCACACAACCGACAGCCGAACGCAGCGACAGAAACGAACGGAAGCGACACGAAGCGGCAGCAAAAAAGAGAACGAAAGAGCGAACACACACACACATGTGGAGTCTTCGAACGCTCGTAAAGAGTAATAGCCACCACCGGGAAACAACAACAACAACAACAACAACAGCCACCCACCCACCACCATCTACCCCCCCGCCCCTCCCACCCGCCGCTCTGGCGCTGTTGTTGTTGGCCCACATGGAGTTGTCACACGTTGGCCGCCAACTGCGCGTGAGTGTAACATTTTTTAACGGGCACCCCTCCCCCGCCCCCCGCCCCGCACCCACACCATGCTAACGACGACTCTCTGCCGCTGCCACTGCCGCTGCCTCTGCCGGCGTCAACATACTCGTATATCCCTTTGCTGCCCAGCTTATGGAAATTTTCGAAAAGCTGCGAGTTGAGTTTTTCCACGTCTCCCGTAGGAGAAAGACAGAGAGAGAGAGCCACAATCGTGTAGAGAGAGAGAGAGAGAGGTAGATGGCGAGAGAGGGAGAGAGATAGTTAGAGACCTAAACAACGTACGTGGATGGGGGTGTATCTGTGTGTGTGTGTGTGTGTGTGCTGCCCTCACACATGTACAACTCTTCTGCTCATCAGTCTTGGGGCCAGAGCAGCTTTTTTAAGCTTTTCCAGCTGCTGGAATTGCTGCCGCCGCTCTGCCGCTGCCGCTGCTCTGCCGCTGCTCTGCCGCTGCTATCTTGCTATCCTTGTCGCATGTGCTCAGTTTTTAATATGTTATCTATTTCGTGCCATGCATGCGAGCAGCGTTTTACATAAGAGAGACCCGCTCCACCCACCCCCAACGAAAAGAAATCATATACACAACATATTGCACACACACACACACACACACACAGACACACACATCCTTCCATACATATGTCTCTCGCTCTCTGGCATGTGTGCGAAAGAGAAATGAATGTGGAAATGGAAGTGAAAAAAGTATACATACGTATGTATGTACGCGATGCGATGTTCGGAAAAACCAACCCCTGGCCAATCGCGATTTTCATCAAATGCGGAAAAGCGGTTGTGGGGACAGGGACGGCGGACAGGGACGAGGGTGGGGTAGAGAGGGTGGGTCATATGAGCACGGTTTTTGCAACATTTCGATTTGTTGGCGCAAATCTCTCGCCCACCAATACCAACACAGTAGCACATAGGACAGGATACGGCACACACATATGTACGCCCACATGTGTGTGGCAGGCAGGCAGGCAGGCAGGCAGGGCAGGGAAGGATGGATGGCTTAGTCGAGGGGTCAGCCGAGGCCAGACATTGGTCGAGGCGCTGTCTTTCCATGAAAGAGAAGGCTACATGTGTGTGTGAGGGCTAGAAAGATGGAGGGAAATGCATCCCAACAGATACATATGTGCAAATGATGAAGATTGACCGCGGGGAGACCCCTCTTGGACTCATTTCTGGGCCCTTTGCAGCCTACTTTCCTTTGCTTTTGTTTGCCTTTGCCTTCTTTCTCTTCTGCTTGCAGTTCATTTGCATATTTCGACTTGTTTGCCTGCGCTTTGTGCCCTTTTTCGCCATAAATTTTAATTGTCTTTCTTCGATTTTTGCATTTTGCTGGCAGGGCAGACAGTGGAGGCCCTAGTCGCAACTTTTGTGCTGTCTGTCCGCCCATTTCTCCACTTTCGCCACTTCCTCCATTTCCGAAACTTTTGCCCTAAAGTCAAACAAAGCTGTGGCTTTGCTGCTGCCGAGTTTTCCGAGATTTAATAATATTTCGCCCCTAGTTTCGGGGCAGTTTCGAGCGCCGGGGAGTGCCGTTCAATCAGCCATAAAACTATCCGAAAAAGTGGTGCGCATATTTAATGAGGAAGCGTCCATATGTCGACTAACCAGGCTCAAATTTTCAGATCAGATCGGTTCGGATCGGATCGGTAGAAAAAAAAACCAAAACTGCACGCATGCGCGATTCGATTATGCAAATGTGGGCGACGGGGCGACGGGGGGAAGGGGGATATGCAAATGCAGTTCAGACAAAGAACAAATAAAGGATACGTTTACACATTTTTTACACCTTCGAACAAAGCGTCGAGAGCGAGTGATAGAGAATGGAACTGATTCAAGGGGTTGGCCCTGGTCCCCTGGTCCCCTGGTCCCTGCACCTCTCTCCAAAGGGGTTCCAGGGGGTACCAAAAGGGGATTTATTTCGATTTTATGCAAATTGGGTTTTCAACTATTTCGAGGGAGCGCTTGCCGCTCCTGTCTGCCGTGTGCCACCGCTGAAGGTCTGCCCGCGACAGCGGCTGCTGCGTCTCTGTGCGGAAAGCCTGGAAAGCCCGAGTGGAAATTTACATTTTCATTGCCCGAGCCGGAGTCGGAGCACGCTTTCCGCGCCACCCCTTTCCGCGTACGTTTTCGCAGGACACGTGCGCATGTCTTTGGCCCCGAACGCAGTTATATTTTTCGTATTTTCCCTGGCTGCTCAATTTTTCACGCTCGCGAAAATGAGCGCGTTTGGAGAAGATGAATTGTAGGGGGGAGGATGCGCCCTTTCTCTCTCTCCCTCTTCATATCTTTGCTCTCCCTCGTTATCCTTTAGATTTTCAAGCACATAAAGGGGTTGGGGGGTTGGGGGGGAGGTAGGTGCCCCCGTTTGTGATAAAGGGGTTCTTGACTCGCCTGATAATTATGAAATGTATGAAATTCCCTTTTGTATGGGTTATATACAAGACCACCCCCCTCTCTGCAGTGGTGGGGCGGGGGGGCAGGGGGAGGGCGATGGGGATTCTGGTCTGCTTGCTTCACGAGCCCTTCTGGGCCGGGGTGGAAGCCGAGCAGGAGCCGCCATAATGGCCAACATTTACTAATTAAGAGCTCACAAGTTGCTCCATGTCCGCCGTCCCCCCGGTCCACCCCCCTGGAAGGCTGGGAGGCTGGGAGAAGCGTGTTTGGAGAGCTTCTAGCTTCTTTATCATTAAATGTAAAGATGGCCGGAGAGGCTGCTCTGGGGATTGGGTGATTATTAATGCATGTTAACGAGGTATCAGGTGGCCAGAGCGAGGCATCCACAAGCCTTTTTCCAGCACTAATCTGGGAATCAACTATATACTCATCTGAGAACCACATGGAGAACCTTCTCGAAGATCAAACAGAATCGAAAATGGGCTAAAATACGCCTTAAACACTCTGTCTGAAGAGAAATGTCTGTCAGACATGTTTTTCGTGCCCGCCCCGCCCCCCACCTGCCGGAAAACTCAAAAGTCTGGTCAAATGTTGACAAGACGAGAGACAAAAGCAAACGGAAAAAAGTCAAATTTCAATGCAAGAAAACGCATAAAAACAAAGCTCATAAAAAAACAAAGAAATTACTCGCCGGACAGTGGGAAAAACAAGGAACGAAGGAAAAATCAATGCGCTACAAGTGTTGACCACAAGCGGCGACGGCGGCGCCACAGCTTGGGGCAAGAACGGTGTGGCCGTGTGGCAGTGCGGCAGTGCGGCAGCTCGATGGCCGGCCACGTCCAGCTGTGGAACAGGAGCCCAGAAAACGGCAGCAGGCTGCTCTCAGAGACGGCGAGAAAACCCGCGAGAAAAACCTGCAAAGAGGAGGAAAAAAAGCTAAAAAAAAAAAATTAAATATGATTAAAAGAAAAAAAGGAGCAGGCAGTGCGAGAGAGACAGAAAGCGAAGGAAGGAGGGCCCGAGAAAAGTTTCCCAAGAAATACGCCGGGGATTCGAGAGCAACAAGCGAACGGCGAGTGGCCCAGAGAGGGGGGGGGGGGGAGGGGTGGGGTGGGCTTAGGGGGTGATGATGCAACGCAGGCACGTAGACCTACGGGAGGGCGAGGGATAAAAAGCTGATGTCTGCCCCGGTATTGGTCAAGTGGACGCAACACCCCCACACACACACGCAGGGACGGGGACAGGGACAACAGGGACTTGCAGCATGCATAACAAACGTCAAGCTCAGTGGCAGTGGCAGTGGCAAGCAAAAACTGCTGTGGCCGTCAACGCCATTTTCGTTTTGCAACTGTTGACAATGCCTCCGCGGCCAGGCCTGGCTGAAGGCTGAAGGCTGAAGGCTGAACTGGAAACAGAGGCAAGAAGAAAAGATGTCCAACAGCGTCCCGTAAACCTAATTGCCAAACGTGCAACGAGGAGGAGAGTCGCTGGAGAGTCGCCGCCACGGCAGCTCCTCCTCTGGACTATCGCTTAACCTTTTCCACTTTGTGCTTCGTTCATGCAGTGCAGGATTTTCATTTATTCTTTGTCTTTGTCTGATTTTCCCCATATTAAATATGGTCTCCATCTCTTTCCCTTCGCCGCTCTGCCACTGCCATGTCAACCCAGAAAATGTGGCAAGACAGTTGGCATGGCCGTTACGGGCGCTACTTTCCTTCGTTGCTGTTTCATTAATATTGTTTACCAA